ATAAAGCTAGTATCATTTGTGAGGTATCATGCATGGAATGAACATTGTCTTTTTATTCAAAAAATCGATTTGTTAAGAAAGTGAAAAGAGCACCGTATAATACGATAAACTGGAAATAGCTCTCTTTTTGGTCTCACACTCTATCCCCCTCTTTTTTCATGCCTTTCATTTCGGCTGCAATTTTTATTGACCAACAACAATGATTGTGTTAATTTTGGACTCTTTATTTTCCCACAATATCTAAAGCAGTTCATTTACTTCATGGTATAGTTTACAGAAAACTCTAGGTAGGGGAATTGTAGTTTTGCTGAGCCCCGAAAAGGCCCACCCGCAATGATAATCCACAACATGTGTGTGAGGTTTACACCCGAAGTCTTTTTGGTATACGCTCGAGAATTTGGCGACAGCATCAGGCTGGAACGTTTAAGAAAATCTCTTTACTCCACACTTAGTAGGAGACTTATATCTTGTAACCAGGAAGACACTAAAAATGAACTGCTCACACACCGAGTTTCTTGTCACCCTCCGCACAATGATCTGAGAAGGTGTTTCGTCTGTTATCTGCTGTCACATAAATGATTTATTTTTGGTTGGCGTTCATATATTTGAGCCAGATAAAGATTTGATTTTCGCTTCTGTATTACATTGTTTTATTTTGGTGTTATCAAACAATAATCTTAGTTACCAGCAGTAAAGATATTCTTAATATTCATATATATATTACACAATGAAAATAATGAGACAAGTGTCCAAGGAGATTTTTTTTTGTCATTACTTCTATTAATTCTTTAATTTTATGGAAAGTATTGAACTTTAAAACATCGCATACTTTGAATTTTTCTGCAGTTCATCTGTCTGAAAAGTAGTTAAAATATTAACGTACCAGAGTAACTTTTTCATTGGAGTTTCTTTGTGCAAAAATTGGAACATTTCGCACTAACCGAAGTTACACATTGTCCATTCTGGAGCATTAACATGAAATATAAAAGCAAAATTACATTAGTCCTGTAAAATCAGACTATAACAACGAAGAAATGTAATGCTATTGTGAATTTATTTTTTTAAACTGATCGCTTCTTAGCACGTATGCATGTATATACTATAAGAGTATTTAGTTTGCATATAAAAGTTATTCATTTATTTAATGCAGATTATTTTATTTGAAACAGTTTCGATTGTTCAGAAATACTAATGTTTGAATAAAAACTAAAACGAACACGTTACTACTGGAACGTGTACTTGGGTATTTAAATGCTACAATTTTGTACAGTATGGGGTTATATTTTAATAACTTTAAAAGTTAATGTGTCGTTTTTATCACTTCGTTTCTTCCTATTTTACTTGGGTTAGATAGATATAGGTGACTATTAATATATGTTTGTTTCTTGTTAAGCACAAAGCTACATAATGTACTGCCCCCAGTGGCACAGCGGTATGTCTGCGGAGTTACAACGCTAGAAACCGGGTTTCGATACCCGTGGTGGGCAGAGCACAGATAGCTCATTGTATAGCTTTGTGCATAATTACAAACAAACAAACATAATGTACTATCTATGCTGTGCCCGTCACGGATATCGAAACTGGGTTTTAAGTGTTATAAGCCTTTAGACTTACTGCTGAGCCTCTGGAGATCTTTAGTGTACCCCCATAAATTTCGATTAGAGTTAATTATTTTCAACTCGTATTGAAAAGGCGTAGAGGAACTACTTACTATCGATTACTTCTGTATAGGTATCGAACAATATATATAATTGCTGTATTCTAAATATAACATAATATCAATTTTCCCGGCTTGAAAAATAAAATAAAAATTATGTTTTTTTGTTTTTGGCATGGCGCCAGTTGTCTGGGACGCTGTCGAGAAATTTTCTTTGTCACGTGACCCAGAAACCTTGAATTCCAACTTGAAAGTATTTGCACCAGTTTTTGTGGCATTTATAGTTTTTACCTAGCAAATAGTTTGACAAGTACTTCTAGAGTAAAATTTAGCATGCCTTTTATTTCACGTAAGCTAGAGTAATTAATGGCATTTGACTGCTAAAAAGTAAATGTGCCTTATAAGAGTCTTTACAGTTGATCTAAACAAAACTTAAAAAATAATATGGTCAGATTCACCAATAAATACTTACAGAAAAGAGGAATTAAACAAAAAAAATGAAAGAACCAAGGAACCTGGCAGAGCACCTGACATTCCAAGAAAAAAGAAACTCAGTCGGCACTTTGCTTTCTGTTGTGTAATAGATATCAAAGCGTTGTACACTGGAAGTGTTGCTTGCCACACCTGCTAAGTTTCCTACGTGATGTTGAGTGGAGACTGGTAGATATTTCCTTAAGTTTTATTATTTTTCCTTCTGTGATTACTGTTGTTCGTTTCCAAAAAAAACGTCAAGTTGTGTTTGTTTTATAAAAAAAAGAAGAAAAAAAGACACACACACACAAATATGTATAGACCACTGTTACTGAATTCTTGGTCGATATTCGTGAAAGCTTTTTTTTTCTTTTTCGAATCTCTCACAAGATTACAATAGAATGATTTAATCATCACATTCCTTTTGATATGCAAAATGTCTTCCGGTTTGGATTCTCAGTATAACAACGTAATACAGTCTATGAGAATACCGAGGAACAAAAGCCCCCCCCCCCCTCCAAGAGGGGGATCCAACGAACTAAATAGTTTATAGATAAGAAACATATATAAAATATATGAGATAACAATTTAAAGAGAATCCGCCATTTTCGCTGTGTGACATTTATTTTCTAGTTATAAATACACACACACACACATATATGTACAAAAAGAAGACTATGTGGACACGCGATTTTGTCTATACTCAACTGTTGAGTAGTCTGGAAGTTTACCAGTCATGCTCTCTTACCATTTTACAAACTGGAAAGAAGATTCTAGCTGCCCTTTATCGAACTCGCGTCGGTCATTTTAAAATAAACACGACTTGTAAACACCACGTCAAAACAATCTTTTGACTATTGGCTCATTGCCATTCAGTCAAGCATGTGTTATACCATTCATTTGTTCCCGAAGTTGTAGTTTGGGTACGATCTTCAGATGAATTCTCCTAAACTCCATTAAATCATCTCGCCTTTCGCCTCCTCGTTTCTGTCTAGGATATACTAAACCTGTTTGTCAGAATTTCATTTAAAAGTTTGTTTATCTGTCAAGAGGAATTTTTTTTTTACTGGAAATTTACTATTAGTTTTAACCTTTTTGTTTTTAACACTTGTAAGTTTCTCTAAATTGGAAGTATCATATGTGTAACTCTTACTTGCTCTAACTTATTGCGGTCGTATATACTGTACCTTTACTGTAAATTCTGACAGCTTGTAATTTATAATGATCTATCACTGTATATAAAGTGACTGCAGCGACACCAATCATTCAGGCTTTTGCATCGTGGCTTAATGAACACTTACAGTAAACCAATTATGCAAAGATCAACTCGAAGGTATAATGTTTCTTTTCATATTAATGTTCAGTTTGTTCATTAAGATATTACTTCTTTCGCTTGATGGTATAAAGTTGTATTTTAAGTTTTTTGAAGGGCTTTTGCCGGTCATTATCTTGTTATAAACTTGAAAATAATTTACAACAAGTCTACATTATGCTTACTTTCAATCAAGAATCGTCTCAAATTCATACTGAATTTATTTCTTTTACTCGGTGCATATAAAGATTAAATTATTAATTTTTGAGTGAGAGTATCAAAGTATTGTTTAACATTTAATCCCATCTATAAATATAACTGAAATAATGTACATTTCTTTATAACTTGAAGCAATATATTCGTGTAATGAACGATTTATGCTGTTTTTAATAACTTTCGATACGTATTTGAGTGCAATTATTTGTGTGTTTTTGTTGTTAAGCACAAAGTTACATAATGGGCTGTCTATGCTGTATCCACTACGGGTATCGAAATCCGAATTTTAGCGTTGTAAGCTTTCGAGACTTACCTCTGAGCCACTGGAGGGGCTTAATACAATTATAAAATATATTAATTCACACAAGTAGGGTCTAAATGCATAATTCTGCTTAAAATATAACGATTTTTTTACGATGAAGCATTACATGATTTGGAGAAAAAAAATCTTCAACATTTAGAAATGTCAACGTTTTGACGGAAAAGTCCGAGTTTAAGCTTTCTGTAAAATTTAGATTTTTGTCTGTAAGATAAAAAAAAAGCAAAACGATAAATTAAGTCCGTGGACTTTAAAATCTCATCCTGCAAGTGATAATTATAATACAGTTTGTTTTGCAAAGTCGAAAAACCAGTTTTATCTTATAAATTTAAATATCTTGAATTAGAGTTGCATATTTTGAAGATAACATGATCATCGCCATGTAGATATCGTGGGTCTACATAGTTTTTCATATCTAGATTTTGATGTCACAACGAACAGTGTTATAGTCAAATTGAGAAAGTCTCCTAACTGATTATTGTCATTTTGTAACTTTAATAGTTGATTTGAAGAAAGAATCAGGTTCAAAATCGCTTTTAATGGACAGTAACTACCAGGGATTTTAAACCAGTAAAGAACAAACTTACTCTACGAACATACGCTGTTTAACCCCCTCTGTTCATCAGTATACATTATTATCATATTGTTCATTTAATTTTCAGAGCCCTAGCAAAGTCCTCTATAGTTTGGAATAAGCGATCTAAGTGTGTTCAAGCCCGGAAACAAGGCCTTATTGAACGAGGCATACAGTGTAAGATTTGCAAACACGAACTGGAGATCATGCCTCACGTCGCGATAGCATCTCAGGTTGCCATGACAACCTGTCAACAAACGTTTGCTCACAGAAGGTGGAATTGTTCATCCATCACGAAGGCTCCAAACTACACTCCTGATCTGACGTCAGGTACAGCATGAATTAATTTGTAGAGTAAGACAAAAAATATGTTGTACTAAAATTTATAGCTATGTATACATCTTTTTTTTGTTTACTGAAATGAGCACAATGGTTTTATGTCTAAATAGTTGCTCCATTAAATTTAGTTAAAATATAAAATAATGAATAATTTTTGTTCTTTGATTGTGTTTTTATCATGTTTTATTCATATAAGTTAATATTTAGAAAAAAAAAGATTTTATTTAATCCTTTGCTCTATTCAAAGTTTAAAACAACTGGAGTTATCTCAAAATATAGCATGTTTCTCTCGTGAATTTTCTCTTTAAAATGTAGCCTTCCAATTTTTTTGATGACTTTAAAATATCGAATATTTTCTAAAGTTGCGATAAATAATTAGGATTAGATCTACGTTTTCTTTTCATTGAAAATTTAATTGTAGATGTTTGACAAGTTTCTAAACGGAAACGCACTTTTATAACAGGATTATACTCAAGACTTTTTTTAATGTTTTA